ACAGGGCTTTAGGCTATGTAGGAGTCTTAATATGTCATCTTGTTGTGTTATTGGGAGCCAGAATAGAAGTCATGGCTCAAAACTTAAATTTTATTGCATACCAGCCACCACTGCCCGTCAACAAAAACAAAGACACCTAACGTTAAATGCGCTAAAATGAAAGGACTGGACGGAGGCGATCCTCAAAAATGCTCATGTGCACCACTTCATATCAGGTGAGGGAAAAAGTATTTTCTGTTGTAGGGATGAATAACCTTATGTGTATTAAGGGTTATCGTGTCCACTTCATCAGAAATTGGGGAGGTATTAAGAGGAACATTGGATTTCTCCCTAACGCTAACCTTTTAGCGTGTTTGCAAACGTTGGCTTCGATAACAAAACAAACCGGGGGAAACCATTCAAGTGTCGTCCTCCTTTGTAAGATTGGCATAGTAATCAACCACAAAGCTTCCTGTGACATCATCCATCCACTGAGTGAGAGCATACAGGTCGGCCAATCTGGTCCTGTTGGTCAGTGTTTACTTTTTTAAGTAACACTCATGGTCCTAGAGACCATGAACGGTACAGTTTGTGCCAGAGTGCGCTCCAGCACTAGCAATGAATATTTCTTCCTACATTGTCTAAAACAAGGCAAAAGAACTTGCTAGCTAGTGGTAGCTAATGCCTGTGGAGAATTGTTTTGCCTCTAGTTAAGCCCCGCCCACCAAAAAAGGTCATACTGTTTACTAAGAGTAAAAGGTGTATAGTGTATGAATGTTATGACTCTAACATTACTTGTAAAAACAACTGATGACTGTTAACAAATGAAATGCAGATGCAGGTTACCTTCATAAAAAATGTATCCAAATAGTTCAAGAAGTTTTGAGGAATGATATCAGAACCAGAAATTGATACAGTTGCCCCTGGTCTCTCCTGATCAACCCTGCATTTCCAGTCGCAGAAACAAAATAACTCAAATTCTGGAGAAATAGAGATGATATTGTATATAAAGATGCTGTGCTGGTCGTGTTGGCAAAACTCAGGACAAACAAAGCTAAATGTAAACACTGTGAACTAAAAAGGAAATCAAAGTTCCAGCGCCCACCAGGATACTCAGGTTGACACTTCTTTTATTGTTAGCTTACATTGAAAAAAAGGGTTTTTTTGTTTTTTAAATGCCACTGACAATAAAATAAGTGTCAACCTGAGTATCCTGGTGTGCGTCGGAATTTTTATTTCCTTTTGGTTCAGTGTGGTTTATCTTGCGCCGGCTGGCAACCAGGAGAGAAGCACAGCATGCACGGGGTATCTTCAGTTCTTTGGACAACTAAATGTAAACACTGTCAGAATACAGCAGTGTTTTGCAGTCTCTACATAAGCGTTCAGTGCGGTGTGTCTGTGTGTGTGGAGTGAGAGTCGTGTGTCTGCACTCGGGACAGGCAGGTGAGCTGGATGTCAGGTTGGCAGTAAACCATGAATGTAACAGTGAATGTTCAGTGTGAGCTACAGTTTGTCAGTGAAGCTTTAAAGCGGCATGTAGAGAATTTGCTTACCGTGTTTTGCGTCATCTGATCAGCTCCTCTGATCAGCCTTCAAACTATTTCATAAGGAACATTAGGCAATATAATCGATGGCTGATCAGTTGCAGCACCATTATCTGAGGGTGTTCAGTAATCCTTGCTCATCCCCGACTCTGGCTGCTTGAAGTAGTGATAGTGAATTAATTGTGTATTGGAAGATTTCTATATAGCTACATTGCTAATTAATTAGCAGGGCGGAGCAACACTGCTAAATGCATAAAGAGGAAGCACTGCTATGCTTTGTGATGGCTGGATACCGACGCCAGCCTTGTGTTAGGTAGTTCATTCTTCACTTTTAAAGAGCAGTAAGGATGTAGGAATGTAGCATTTCTTCTGGCTGAAATGTGACATGTCAATCAGGTTTGTGTTGTGACGTATTGTATTGTTCATCCTCTTGGCCTCTGCTGAGCAGTTAGTCGACCACAGAATGGCGGCAGTCAGGTGAGAGACAATCAGTGTAACAGCGGGGAATTCAGTCTTCCTCTTCTATAGGACCCTTTTAAAAAGATGAAACCTGTGTGAATAGAACAATGGCTTCATATGGTATTTCTTGCTATTTGAAGATAAATGGAAGCTCTAGCAGTGTTCTCTGCCACTCCACTTCCAAAAGCTAAATGGATGACGAACAGGGAAGGTGAGGACGTTATATGCGAGGGCTGACCCCTGAGAGTCGGAGATTCAAGTCATCAGCCGAAGACCCCTCAGTCCACTGAGATTCCTTCAAGTCGATCAGTTGGGTTTTGTTTCTTTGTTAGTCAGTGTGCCGTGCACTTCTTGGTACATTTCGGTCCCCAGATTTAGCTGCAGATTGAGCACTCCTCACTTTCAGGTTGCCCTCTTGTACAGGCAGCTAGAGACCCAGACCCAGGGTGAGTCTGAGTGAGATGGAGGCTGCTGCCCAGAGGAGGAGAGGCTTTGCCTGGTCGATCTCTGAGATAATGTTATCTTCTGCCTTCTGCTTATAAGTGGTAAATTTACCAGCTTACAACAACTTAATATCACACAGTCCCTGGCTTTGTTTGCTATCAGTTGTCGGCAAAAAAGAAAAAAGCATTTGTACATATTCGATCTGTCGTTTGCATAATGGAGGGCTGACTTGGCTTGTTTAGAATATAATGTGAACATCACAGTCACCCTGAACATCTCGTCAAACCCTGTTCAAACTCTTAAAGTGTATACGTAAAAAAGGACAACCACAACTGATTCAATCCGACACATGGGTTAAACAGTTACATACATGCACGTTTTTAAGTCAGATGATTCATTAAATCAAGTCTTTCCAAGCTTAAAGAGCCTGTAAGTGTTCCTCATTTGTGTTTGTAGAGCAGGGGTTACAACACATAACCACTGTCTTCTCACCGCTGCCATGGATTTTGGGATATTATAAAAAAGAGACAACCTGTTTTGACACAGTCCTTATGCTCATTAGTTCGGTTGTGGCCTGTAGTTTGGTTTGACAGCCCTGAGCAGGTATTACAAAAGTCCTGTCATATATTGTTTATGTGTTGTTCTCATTTGCACATTATATTTGCATCTGCTGAGCCAACACAACACTGAGGCTCATTTTATGCACTATATCCAATAGCAGGCGCAGTGAGCTCATGATGTCATGCATGGCTTCCCTGAATTAATTAGAAGAAGGCAACACTAAGGAGTCTTGGCAAATTAATGTCATTAGTGAGGAGAATTATGGTATAATGATCAGTGCCTAGTTTTCTGGACAGTGGGAGAAAAATAATGTGGTTTAAGCTTCTGAGGAAAATAAAAAAAAAGGTCATAAGAGAAGCAGTAAGAACACAGAGTGGCAAATGCTGAATGAAGAGTGTATGTGTTTGTGTGTGTATGTTTATTCCATTAAAGTGAACTTTGGTCACAGTGTGGTGATATGGAGGCAGCGTCAGATTGAAATTCAAAGTTCCCCTTTTATGTTGTTTTCAACTAAAAGTCTGATCTGCAAAAATATGTTGTGGGGAATTTCCTGCACAGTGCCGGACCCGGCACATTTGGTGCCCTAGGCAAGTTCCCCTGGTCCCATCTCTTGTTATGTGCAAAATATATGTTAGGAAAAAAATCAGTAACAAAGTATTTTTACATCAAAATTCCTGTCTTTTCTCTTTCTGTTAAAGCAGGTTAAGTGGTTTTCAATGTTTGATGACTCATCCCGCTCTCAGGGGCGTTTACAAAAGTTCAAAAAATCAAAGAGACTTCACCACCTCACTATTTGTGGGTTGTAGTAGCTCACAGAGCAGTACAAAGAGAGATAGGAGGAGATTTGTGTTTGGATATCAGTGGGCAAAAGCTTTGTTTTCATTTTCAAAACAATGTGGTGGAGGTCTAATTCATTAATCTCTTTCCTGTCCTCCTCCAAAACTAACAGCGAGCTCCATAGCTGTTTGGATTGGTTCAATCGAACTCAAGTTTGTCTGCCTTGTAAGTCGGTTCGTTTGGGCAGGTGTGAACACAGCAGTCACACTTGGGTGCGCACCTAAACAACCGGACCGAGACCTCCTTGAAGAGGTGGTCTCCCGGTTAAAAACAAACTGCAGTTCGTTTGTGGTGAGAACGTGTTCCGACCTGGATCTGAACCAACTGCAGTCACATGACACATTGTTTGGGTTAAACATGAGCATGTTACAGTCCTGGAGGATAATTAATGTGCACCTCCTCCTGTACTGCCTTAATATGCACATTCAGCACATCCAATGCATCAAAACATTGTTTTCTAGTTGGGGCCGAGCCTCGTTTTCAAACTGTATGGTTTGACCAAAATGAACAATGACAGCAATATAGTCCACGATGAGCAGCGCTAAAATCAACCTGCGTAGTTGTCCCTCCATTGTGACATTAAAAAGTGTCACAATTATCTTGCAAGTGTACTCTTCTTCAACGTTTGGTTTACTTCCTGGATTTTTCCCACATAGAAGTTCTGACCAATCAGGAGCAGCTTTCTCGTGCAACACATTTTATCTGGTCCGCTTGTAAATGCTGCCGTGAGAACACAAACCAACTCTAGGCAATTATACAACTTTAAAACAAAATCAATCCCAAAGCAAGACAATGCTAGGTCTGAAAGCACCCTAAGCCTGCCCATGTTTTAGCGGTTCACTCAAATAAGAAAAATTTGATTTAAATCCCTCTTATAACTGTGCACCGCTCAAATATTATATTTCACTGGGAGGCATGTCACAGGTTTCACAGGGACTTTAAGGTGACTGCATTGCCAGGGCCTGAGGAGGCACCCCCAATTCTAGGTCTTTGGATAATTTTTTTAAATTTGTTTGGGGGACAGATTTTTATGCTATCCCCCTCTTGGTGGCACACTGTGTCGCCTATAGGAAGATCCACATCCTGCAGGAAACTTTTTAATATACCCATGCACTAAAAGCATGATGAGAAAGATAGTGAAGAAAAGTAAAGTAAGATGCTGTGGGAGAAACTGACCTTGAAGAGGCGTAAAATGTTGGCTACCATGATTGACACGGAGCTGGCAGACGCACCAATCACTCCCACCACTCTCTCAGGCTTAGTGATGATGGGCGGCCCTCCGCTGAGACACTTGACATCAGTTGAGTCCTTCTCAATCAGCGCCTGAACGAATGTCAGCGACTGCTCCAGTGCATGGGTGTCCCGGGAGCAGGTGTCCAGGATGCGCGCCCCCAGAGTGATATTAGGCAGCAGCTCATTGTCATTATTGATACGATCCAGGGCAAATAACATGGCCTCCAGCCTATGGATCCCTTTCTCCTTCTTCAGCTCCCCACAGGCTTTGCCGTCGTTTCCCCTTGCATGCACTGGAAACAGCCCACCCAGAGATATGTCCCCATCAATGCGTATTGAATTGAGGTGTGTGTGGCCTGGCATTTTGGGCTTGGCTGCCAAGGCGATCGAGAAATAACAAGCCAGCAGCAGCAGCACCCAGCAGCAGACACCTCTGTTGCAGCCAATCCACGCTCTCTCAAAGCCTCCTCGCAGAGTCATAATGAAAGGCTAAATCCGCATCCAAATACAAATTCAAGTCCTTTGAAAATGAAAGAGGTGTGCGCACATACACCCACACACACATACAAATGTCCTGAAGGTTAGCCGCAATGTTTTTCAGAGCACAGTTGTTCTTCAGAAGTCTCTTCTCATGGTTTCTAGCTCTGACACAAACTGGGTAATACTAATTATGCAGCCCTTGCTCTCTTTATCTCTTTCTTCTCTCCTCTTTGTGTTTCACTCTTTTTCCTGCACCTGAGAGTGACTACATGCAGTAACTAAACAGCACAGGGAGAGCTGAGCCAGAGTCCACACAGAGTGCTCTCATAAGGCAAGAACAAAGGTGGAAAGTTAGCCTCTCTTCTCCGCTTCTCCAGGATCACTCGGGTGCATTTAGCTCTGCTTTTGGTCCTTCAAGCAGGAAGAAAGTCACAAGCTGACCCAGCGGGTTCCTCTGCAGGCTCCTGAAAGAAAGAGAGAGGAGGTGTGAGAAGAAAGGAAACACCAGAAAGAGCAACAATAGCTCAGTGCAGCCTTGTATTAGCCTCCAACACAGTCCAACTTAAGTCAGGGGATGGGAGACAAGCTGCTATGTCACACTCTCCATATTTTAATTGATATCATACTCAGAGCAGCAGAGCACATTTGCATTGAACACTTCAAGATCCAAACTATTTTCTGGATCTGAAAATTCAAGCATAAATAATACCTGGACCCAGCAGCTCCACACAGGAAATCTGTTCTGTGTTGCACCCATGCCTCCACTGCTTTCAGAGCACCGCAATAAATTATTTCTATGTGCCTTGAGCATAACTGATTTGCTGCTGCTTGGCACCGCTCCATAGACTTCATAACCACACAGTGCTCTGCTCATGTAGATCCTCTCCAGACTATTTTACCAAAAGGTTATGAAATACAGTGCTAAATTAAGAGCATGGGATTCTGTTAATCAAAGAAACAATATTCCTCGGGTTATGAACACATCTGCTCTTTGCACATTTGATCCCTTGCTGTCTCTCCTTCCCCTTATATCAATAGTGGTGATGGGTACTGTGTGTGTGTGTGTATCTGTGTGTGTGCGCTCTCTCAACAGTAGGCCTGCTTCTCCCACAGTGCCAGACTAATAGAGCAGAGGATCTGGACACAGTGGGAGAGTCCTGCAGCCCTCCCTCTTTCTCCCTCTCAATTGACCATCTCTCACACACACACGTATCTGTGAGGCTTTACTTCATGCTGCTTTTGTATGCTAACATACAGCCTCCCACCGCGGTGTGGCCTGTAACAGAGGACACAGAGGGCAAAAGCTCGTTCAGGACCTGAAAGTTGTGCTACCTTGTAGCAGCTGTCAAACCCATCGCTGTGGAGCAGTGATATTGTGCAGTTATTTTAATGGGGATGGAGGTGTGGAGGCTGGCAGTGACTGCACCGGCTTCTCTAATGTTGAGTACATATTTGTAGAACAAACTCATTGACGTAGAGGTGCCAAGAGATTCGCCAGGACTCATGAATTAAAGACAGCATCACCTTCTGTCTTGTCACGTGTGCGTCTTTGCTTTCTTTAACTTTGGACATCAAATCAAATAATAAAGATGCCGTGCTCTAACACTACACAATGGCCTGTCTTGTGCTGCTTCTCCCATCCTGCTGAGAACCAAAAAACAGCATCCATAATGGATGAAGATCTACCAGTCGCTGCAAAACATCTCGTTCTAGGGGGAAGCCTCGAAGAGAAGGATGAGGGAAGGGCGACAATGCAGGCTTGGCCTTTTGTGAAAGAGTTATAAACAGACAAACAGGTAGGGAAGGAAACTGCTGCTCAAAGTGGTGTCTGGGTAATGATGATGGAGCGACACCTGCTTTTTAACCACCATTACAAAAGCACCACGTAGCAGGAAAATGGCCTCTGTTGTATGGACCATAATCATTCTCCAGAGCACTCTGAGCTTTACTCTGAAAAGATTTGCAGCATGGGTGGCCCTGAAAATTGCTTTTTAATTTGACAATTGCATTTCTCTTTGTGGGCATTTTGGTAATAATGTTGTTTGATAATTTTCAACGAGATCATAATCTTAGCCTGAAAATTACGGAGAGGAGCTGCAGGCAAGGAATTTGCATCTTATTTCAAATCACCTTATCCTTCATCATTGTGATTACAAACTAATAAAGCTACAATCGTGGATAATTACAGCACACCACCGAACAAAACAACCAGATAAATGTGTTTAGTGCTGGACAATACTGCGGTAATTGAGTCACGTTTTAAGAACAAGCCTTGACATCTGAGAGATGAAGTCCTCCCCGCCTCTCAAGATCTTTTTGGAAGGGGTGGACAGCAGTGCCCCTTCACTGTCATCACTCTGTGAAACACTGCGTGCACAGTGGCAGCTTTACCAGATGTTTAGTCACAAGGCCCAGATGGGCAGAGCAGATAAACATCAGCTGTCTGCAGAGAGCAGGAGTTAGGGGAAATTGCAGAATCCACACAGCAACCGTCTCCCCTCACTGTGACGAGGAGGAACTCCGGCTTCCTCTGCACTTGACTGCAGTCCCCCGCTGCTGTGTGCACTGCCACACTGATGGCTGACACAGCTGTAGACTTTACTCCACGAAGGGTTTCTCTGAGATGGAAACACACATTGCCTGGAATAAACTTTTTAATACACTATTTACTGGAGTGTGTCTCGCATTTATGAGGCAGGAATGGCTTTTTTTTTTTTTTTTTTTTTTGTCAGCGTTTGTGTGCTTTCCACACAGTTAAGAGAGTGGGGACCAATCATTAAGGTTCAATTAACTCCTATTAGAGTCTGCTTGTTTACACTGTAGGGCAAATTAATCAGATTCTTATGGGTAAATCGTCGATAAAGCCATCTCAGTGCTCCATGCACAGATAATGTACAACATGTTTTGCACTTTAAATGGGCTTAAAATAAAGGTAAAAGTGTTGATGAGCACAGAGTAAGCAGCAATTTCAGGTCATTTCATTCTCTCTAAAAACATCAATAATACATTAAATGTAGCATCATAATTTACAGCTGCCATCAAACGACACTTGTGTAGAAAGTCTGCATGAATAGATTTTTTAAGATGCTTTAAAATCTATCTTGGTAATTGTTTCTAGAGCAATTAGCTGCATGTGTTTGGAATTGTTTGAATAAAGGCTCTTTTTCAGCAGTGCCACACACACACACACACACACACACACACATTCTGTTCTGACATTTTAATTGAGTGCAATTTACTTAAATTTGTTACAAGCATGGGAAAGTTTAATGCCCACTAGGGAGTTTCTCTTGGGGATTTAACTAAGTATTGGAGAGCTGGAAAAAGATTAAATGCTAAAAATGAAGGGACACACAAGAACTGCCTCTGAAACAGTTCAGAAAAGTACAAACCTCTTTCTCTGCCAAATGATCAACGATTGCCGACGGCGATTCTAAATTTTGAATCAGCCTTTGGCCACTCGCCAGCCAACACCAAGGCGGAAAGACAAGCAAACTCCCACCAAGCCAGACTGCTTCGGAGGCAACTCGGCCAATAATTAGCTGAATCATTTCAGCTATTGTTTATGTAGCATCAAAGCCATCCTTGCACAGACAGAGCACAACGTCTCATACTCTAAAAAACAGCACCCACCGGAGGGGAAAACAATCAGCACCACAATATGCAACCAAGGGCTGAAACATTGACAGAATGCCTGCAGCTAGCTAAAACCTTCAATTTCAGCATGTCAAGGAATTATTTTAGGATGCTATGTCTAGCTGAGAGGAAAAGGTATATTCAAAAATCCAATATTGTCGATTTATTTCAGTGACTCTTCTCTTTTATCTTGGAGAAATGATCCCACTGAATGGCCAGAATGAGATACTTTGATATTTACAACAGTTTGATTGAATCACCAGATAAGATCATCATTTAACATACAAAGATCAAAACCAGGCTTCAACCTCTACAGTTCATCTGACCAAAATAGTAACTGTAACTTATTTATGAGGGGCAGCATGGTGGTGCAGTGGTTAGCATTGTCGCCTCACAGCAAGAGGGTTCCTGAGTCGAACCCAGAGTGGGGGAGCCGTTCTGTGCGGAGCCTGCATGTTCTCCCTGTGTCAGCGTAGGCTTTCTCTGGATACTCCAGCTTCCTCCCACAGTCCAAAGACATGCAGGTTAGGTTCAATGGTGACTCTAAATTGTCCGTAGGTGTGAATGTGAGCGTGAATGGTTGACTGTCACTAGACTGGCGACCTGTCCAGGGTGTCCCCATGTCAGCTGGGATAGGCTCCAGCCCCTGCTACCACTAACAGGATAAGCAGTTACAGAACATGTGTGATGAAATTAACTAATTTATGAGTCCCTTTCTTCCTGCTGATGCCTATTGCCAGATGTATCCGAAACTTTTTTAATGGGGGCCAGATTAGATCAGCTAAATAAAATAACACATACTAATGGGAGAAACACAACTGTTTCATATCTCAGTGAGAAAGAATTCAACTTTCCACCGCTCCTGAAAGCAGAAGCCCTCTCTATTGTCTTTATGCTATTTTGATGTGGCCGTATCCGCCACTGAAAAGGAAATGTCTGCTGTTGGGTAACCATTTGCTTGTATACCATCTGTTAATGAAAACACATTAGTTCCACATGCGTAGTTTCTATTTGGTGCGTGTCTACAAACTGTATGATAGTCCTGCCACCATGAAGTTAAAAGAAAAAATACACAATATTGCTTGATTAACCAATATTGTGTGGTAGGCCACATAGTGCATGATTTGAAAGACAAACCGCTAGCTGTTTAAAATCAGTCCGAGGGCCATGATTCACTCCTTGACCAGACTTTGGACATGCCTGCCTTACGGCTCATTGTGTGCATCAACTTGTGTCTTCTTAAAGGCTCAGTTTTTCAGTTTGGTGGCTTATTAAAACTTAGTTCTGGGTTCTTTATCGTGTAGGTAGTGCATTCCACCACAGAGCAGCCTTTAGGCATTTTTCTGTTTTCTAACTGAAGTGACAAGGTGACACCTCTATGCAATAAGGAGATACTTTCATTGAATATAAAGTCATTGGAGAGCAATTAATTTTTTTCCATTCTGGTGTGGGTGGGACTTAATTGCACTCTGTCTCTATGGTTGGTGTTTACACAAGCAACAGCAGTAAAGCATTTGAACCAAGCAATGACACCCTGAGTGCATCTTATACCTACATCCACAATTACCTGCCAGTGTTATTCTCATCTCATCTCATCTCATCCCTCACCTTGAGGGAGGTTCTTCAAATATGGCACAAACGTCCACTTAGATTCAACAATGACCTAATTAGAATTTGGTCACTGTGATGGCCACAACTCAGGAATTCATGTGCAAATTATGACACAATTTCAAATGTCATATGTTGTACAAATGTCTAATTTGATAGAATAATGAAGTGATTTTATATCCCAAAACTGAAAGGTCAGCTTCAATGTCACATCATAATG